AAAAGAATCCACCCAAATAAGCTTAAGTAAAAGGTGTTTAATTATGAGAAACTGGGAATTTCACATAGCCCAATGACAGGAATTACAACTGAGCTTAACCTTCAGATGTGTTATGCTGTTGGTTCCGTGACACTGCCCATCTCTGCCCATCATATCAGTTTTTCATAAAATGATACCACCAAGTTCACTAATGACTGCAGGGAGAAGGTGGTAGGTTTCTGTGTAAAATCTTGGGTAAAAACTAAAGAAATTCTGTAACATAGAAGCATGTAAGATTCTAGGAAATTGCAATAGCTTAATAAACATTTTTTTATCCAGGCCAGGATTTTGACTAGTTGCCATGATCATCCTCTCAAAATGTTCATTGTTGGGCCTTCTTTATGCTATGGTTTTTTTTGGGGGGAAAAAAAAAAAAAAAATATATATATATATATATATATATATATATATATATATATATATATATATTCCATGTACCTTTTTGGTTTCTTGCCTTAAGTGTTTGTTTTCTACTATTATATCTGTGTTGATTTTGTGCCATGTGTGGTTCTTGATCAGGAAATTCTGTTTTTCCAAAGTAGGTTGGATCTCTCTGCTCTGTTCTCCAGATGCTCACCTCACCTTCTTCATTCTAGACATATTTTCATGTTTATGTTGGTTTGGTTTCTGCAATCTCAATTCTAACATTAATATTAATTAGTCTATTATAGTTTTTCAAAGGTTTGAGAGGGCTTATTTAAATCTCAGCCAGTTCTGGTTAACTGGAGAAACACTCTACTATTTTTCATTAGAAGACGAAACGCATCATGGTAAGACATGGCGTAGAAGAGGGCAGCCTACCACCTGGGGGAAAGGAGAGACAGGCTTTATATTTAGAGAGAGCTGAGTTTTAATGTGATCTTGGGAAAACTATTTAACTCCCTGGGCCTCGGCTTTCTCATCAATAAAATAGTGTTCAGAATACCTTCCTCATAAACGTGTTGTAAAAATTAAATAATTTTATGTAACACACACACACACACACACACATATATATATATATATATATATATATATATATATATATATATATATATATATAAATCAGTTAATTCAATAGTATAGTAGAGAACTCAATAAATGGCAGTTATTTTTAGGAATCAACCATTTTCTTAATTCTCCTTACCTTTTGGTGTGAACGATAATTTAAGAATTAACATTTTTCTAGTAACTAAATGTTTTGTCATTTGTGTTGCTAAGCTTTCATGAATTCCATATTATTTTCAGTTGCCTTATTTTCCATAAACTACAATGTTTATCTTTGAGGATAAAGATTTAAACCTTTCATTGTATTTTAATTAAATTTTTGGAGGAAAGTGCTACTCTGTTGAATTCCTATCATTACAGGTAAATAGCCTTTGTTCCCTCATCCTCAAATTTAGTTGTATCTCTTTCTAGTTAATCCCCAAGATATTAAAACCATGTTTGAATACCCATAAATTATTGTGCAGACAGAATATCTTCTACAGAACCCAGGAATCTTTAGTTATATATTCCAGTTTTGGAAGTTGGTCCGTACAATGAATCTCAACAGTGTTCAGCACACAGAGGCCAGGGGCAGTGCCAGACAGTGGCTTCCCCAGCATGAAGCAATAGTGCCTGAAGCAGGATGGGTGTGCAATATACAGACTGAATGAATGAGTGAACTGTCCTGCACAACAGTAGCAGTTGATTTAATGCTAATAACAGACTGAAGACAACAGCATTCTGTTGTCAAACTACCTGGAAAAATGGCACTAAATAAAAATGTAAAGCAGGATCCTTCACTGTAGGATTTCTAAGAGCCTTTAATATTCTAATATGCATATGAACTTTTAAAATGGGAATACAGCTTACAGCAGGTCCCATGCTTATTTGGTCACAGAACTCCAGTTATTTTTGAAAATATAATTAACATCTGGCAGAATCCTAGTTTCCTACAGAACCAGTTGGATCCTATCCAAAGCTCTGACCTACCGTCTTCATTGATCCCATGGTCTAGAGTTGACTCATAGATTCTTTTTATAAAGATACTAGAATACTTGGGGATTGTGACTTCTTTCTCACAGTTTTCCATAAGGGGAATGAATATTAAGTTGCCATTGTTATTCACACTATACAATGATTTGACTTAACATTTCTTTTAGGCCAGCTACCAGAGACAATACAGACATGAGACTCTATCCCAGAGTGCAGTCCAGATGCTGGTAGGTGCAGCAGAAAGCTTTGGTGAGAAACGAGAGTAAGTATATCATTAAGAGAAAGCTTCCATCCTCCCAAGCCACTGCATTTAGGAAATTGTGCAAATTATTTTTTTTGCTTCTGTCTGGTAATTTGGGATCATCCAGTGTTATGTGTCCAAGCCACTGTCTGCTCTACACCCCACAATCAGGCCAAATCACCTACTTTCAGTTTTCCTGACTTGCTCCACTCATTCACACTTCTGTGCATTTGACCAAGCTGCTCCTTTTGACTGAGATGCTCTTGCCTTTCTCCTTTTGCCTCTCAAAGCTAAGCTGTAAACTGCTTTTACTTTTCTCTCTTTTTTTAGACTACTTGAATGACTCACTAAGGTGAAAGACTTCCTAATCCTCCCAGGCACATCTTCCCAAGACACATCCTCCCTTAATACTTAGCATACACTTGTAATGATTTCTTTAGATGCAAGTCTCCACAGAAAGCAGTGAGTTCCTCAAAGTC